GATATTGGAATTATTTGCAATTGCTAGCACTGCTATTATTTCTACCCCGGTGGGCACAATATCCGAGAGTGGCGTTTCTCTTGGATATTATCCCCACTGGGACTATTATTACCACAAACACTACTATTATTTACTGAAGACGGAGGGATTACTGAGGACGGAGTGAGGGTGCCCAACCACTTGGACTATCGGGGATCAAACGCCGACCTTGCAAGAAGCAAGGTCGTTGCTATACCGACCAGTTCAAGTAGATGAACTTGCTTATTAATAGGTAACTTACTAGGTCCAACGTCATACTCTCCCTCGCAGATGCGGGCGAGGCCGAAGTCGGCCACCTTGCAGTTGAGGGAGGAGCCGACCAGGACGTTGCGAGCGGCCAGGTCCCGATGGATGAGCTGTTTGGCCTCGAGGTACTCCATCCCTGACGCCACCTGTGGGCGGGGTCACGGTCAGGTCTTGCTCTTCAGCGTGATCCCTCTCTTCATTTTGTCATGTTACTATCTATCACATCATGTCACTGTCTATCACATCATGCTACTAACAATCACATCATGTCACTGTCAATGATGCAATGCCACTAACATTAAATATCAGGTTTACATAGAATACAGCTCTATTATAAAGATCCATTAGTTGCATATTTCTACTACTTTTTATGTCTATATTCTAAAATATAAATTGTATAAAAATTTGCTACAGGAAGCTGATTAGGTCGGTTTCCTCTCAAGATGAAAATGTCAATAACCTCTATAACAAACTCTGTCTTCAGAGTTAACATTAACATCGTTCCTTAACATGCTAAACATACACTCACTCCACACATTCTCTTGTGCTTTTTACATGTACAAAACCTTGTTCCTAAATGCTAACCTGAAACTTTTCCTTGATAGGTGTAATAGAAGCCATGAGTACCACACCAGATATAAATACTGTTTATCTTTGATATCCCCAAAGTCAAACTAAATCTGTGCAAACACTCCATGCAAATAAAAGGGCTCAGTCTATGGAACTTAATCCCTAATGAATTAAAAAAATTGTCCAATCTATGCCTCATTCAAAAGTAAAATCAAAAGTACCTAATATCATCCTCATAGGTTCCTACCTTGTACTTCACACTCACACTGTATCTTGTACTACCTACTTTCCCAATATTTGTACTTAAGACATATATCTTCACAAGTGTAATCACCTCTGTCAATTTATATTGTATATGTTGATATAATACTTTACTTCAATGTACATTTTTAATCTTACCTGATATTTTAGATTAAGAACCTGCCCGAAACTGTGCGCGTTAGTGCCTTTGCAAGAATGTAAAAATACCAATCTTATGTAATCTCACCAACCCATTGTACCTTCTTGTAAATATAAATTATTATTATTATTATTATAAATATTTCTATATAAATTAAGAATGAACTATATTTCATTTAACCACGAGCTTTATCCTATCCAGCTGGAACTTTGAAGTTCTATTCTGTCCAGCTGGAACTTTGAAGTTTTATTCTATCTAGATGGAACTTTCCCGTTACCTGACTGTTGACAAGACTTGTTCTTTACCTGACTGTTGACAAGACTTGTTCTTTACCCGACTGTTGACAAGACTTGTTCTTTACCTGACTGTTGACAAGACTTGTTCTTTACCTGACTGTTGACAAGACTTGCTCTTTACCCAACTGTCGACAAGACTTGCTCTTTACCCAACTGTTGACAAGACTTGCTCTTTACCTGACTGTTGACAAGACTTGTTCTTTACCTGACTGTTGACAAGACTTGTTCTTTACCTGACTGTTGACAAGACTTGTTCTTTACCCAACTGTTGACAAGACTTGCTCTTTACCCAACTGTTGACAAGACTTGCTCTTTACCCAACTGTCGACAAGACTTGTTCTTTACCCAACTGTCGACAAGACTTGTTCTTTACCCAACTGTCGACAAGACTTGCTCCTTACCTGACTGCTGATATAGACTTGTTCTTGGAAGCTAAGCGTGTGGCCAGCGTCAGCCCTGAGCATATCCAAGAGTGAGCCTTCACTCATGTACTCAGTAATGATGAGTATGGGCTCCTCGGCGGTACAGACGGCGTAGAGGACGAGGATGTTGGGGTGCCGGAGGCCCTTCATGATCCGGGCCTCCTCCAGGAAGGCCTGTTTACTCATCGTTCCTTCCTTCAGCATCTTGATGGCCACCTCCACGTCGTAGTTCCAAGAACCTGAAGATTGTGGTGGTGTTATGACTGTTGGTGCACAAGTAGCGGTGCTGGGAGAAGTAGTAGCAGGATAACAGTAGTAGTAAGAGCAGCAGCAATAGTAGTAGCAACAGTGTCAGTAGCAGTAGCAGCAACAGTGTCAGTAGCAGTAGCAGCAACAGTGTCAGTAGCAGTAGCAGCAACAGTGTCAGTAGCAGTAGCAGCAACAGTGTCAGTAGTAGTAGCAGCAACAGTGTCAGTAGCAGTAGCAGCAACAGTGTCAGTAGTAGTAGCAGCAACAGTGTCAGTAGTAGTAGTAGCAACAGTGTCAGTAGCAGTAGCAGCAACAGTGTCAGTAGCAGTAGCAGCAACAGTGTCAGTAGCAGTAGTAGCAACAGTGTCAGTAGCAGTAGCAGCAACAGTGTCAGTAGCAGTAGCAGCAACAGTGTCAGTAGCAGTAGTAGCAACAGTGTCAGTAGCAGTAGCAGTAGCAGCAACAGTGTCAGTAGCAGTAGCAGCAACAGTGTCAGTAGCAGTAGCAGCAACAGTGTCAGTAGCAGTATTAGCAACAGTGTCAGTAGCAGTAGCAGCACAGTAGTAGTAGCAAAAGTGTCAGTAGCAGCAACAGTGTCAGTAGCAGTAGCAGCACAGTAGTAGTAGCAACAGTGTCAGTAGCAGTAGTAGCGACAGTAGTAGAAGAGGTAGCAGTAGCAACAGTGTCAGCAACAACAGCAGAAAACGTAAGACATCATTATTAGTAACAGTAGTACAGTATTAGTAGGATCAACAGTAGTAGGAGCAGCAACAACAGTAGTTGCTGCTGACTTGCTGAGGGAGTAGTTGTACAGCAGTAGTTGTAGTATTAATGATTATTATGTTTAAGCTTATTATTATGATCAATGCACAATTAAATTATAAGAACATATATTTATGATAAAATATTGAGGCAGTACAATGGAATCGAACCTGCGTCCCTGGACTCCCTTGGCACACGCACTGTCCCAGGGATGCAGGTTCGATCCAATTGTATATCCTCAGTTTTTTCTCACTATGATAATTAATAAACCCAATATTACCAAGCCAAACATCTCCGAAGGACCCCTGTCCCAGCTTCTTGATGAACTGTAGAGAGGACCTCTCAATCTCCCACTTGTCCCTGGTATCCTTGCATATGTCGTTCATCCCTGGAGGAGGTCTTTTACAAGGGTACCGCATCAGTTTCCCTAGTTCTGAGCCATCAACGCCCTTCAGGTAGTAGTCAACGAGATCGTTAAGTGTCTGAAAGGCCTTCGACCTGGTGATGAAGAACTGGCGGTTTTCGGAGGAGCAGATCCGGTAGTGTTTGACCCGAGGTTGGTTGGAAGTGTCCTTCACTGTCTGGAGGATAAGGTACAGCATAGCCTCAGGACTGGTTGTTGTTGGTGTGTTTATGTATGTGTGTGTATGGTTCCTGTCGTCCAAAAATGAGTGTCTTGGGTTGGATTCCTGGGTAAGTCGAAATGTTTGGGCACGTTTCCTTCAGCGCACACCCAATAATGACAGTAAGTATAGCAACAAGGTAGAACGTGCATAAATGGACGGTTATGCAGAAAAACTTCACGTTTTGTGCAATTCGAATACCCCAGATGGCACGCTAAAAAAAAGTGGAACAGTCCCTTTGCAGCCTAATCTGTCATAGGCTTAATATACATAATTTTAGGCCAAATTTAGTAAATATTTGCACTGTACCAGACCTAGGAAAGTTGATTAGGTTTCTTTTTAACATGACCTATACGCAATTAGTTGTACAAAACATGTACTTTTTAGTACAACAATCTACCTTTAGTACGTATCACCGATAGTTGCTATATGTACTATCATTTTATGTAGTAAATAATACTCATCTGAGGATGGGGAGTTGTGTCGAGTGAGTATGTTTAGTGAACAATCATATGGTACATGCATAATTAAATATATAATAGAGCGGGTACAGGAGGGACCCTGTACTCATGAACAGTATCTCTCCCCCTACCAGTACTCCGGTACAATCCCCTCCCCCGTACTCCGGTAGTCTCCACATACAACGGCTACAGCTTCGAATCACAACATTCATTACACACAAAACTATAGACAAATTAACTCCTATTTAAAACAAACATTCAGTATATGTAGTGTATGTATACCAAATTTATTTGTTTGTATTAAGTGAAATCTGAGTTAATTTGCCATACACAGTTGTGCCTAAAAATTCGTGATTTTAGCTTAGTACGTTATCAGGCGGCCACCATGTGTATTCTCAGAGCGATTAGTGATTTTTTACATAAACTATATCATTGGTCGGTTCATAGCACTTATCCTGACAATAAGAGATTAGTTGTGCCCGGCTTCACAGGACCGGCATTCATAGGACCTACCCTAATGCTGAGGGAGTACCAGCTTCACAGGACCTACCCTAATGCCGAGGGAGTACCAGCTTCACAGGACCTACCCTGACGCTGAGGGAGTACCAGTTTCACAGGACCTACCCCTGATGCTGAGGGAGTACCAGCTTCACAGGACCTACCCTGATGCTGAGGGAGTACCAGCTTCACAGGACCTACCCTAATGCTGAGGGAGTACCAGCTTCACAGGACCTACCCTGATGCTGAGGGAGTACCAGCTTCACAGGACCTACCCTGATGCTGAGGGAGTACCAGCTTCACAGGACCTACCCTAATGCTGAGGGAGTACCAGCTTCACAGGACCTACCCTGATGCTGAGGGAGTACCAGCTTCACAGGACCTACCCTGATGCTGAGGGAGTACCAGCTTCACAGGACCTACCCTAATGCTGAGGGAGTACCAGCTTCACAGGACCTACCCTGATGCTGAGGGAGTACCAGCTTCACAGGACCTACCCTGATGCTGAGGGAGTACCAGCTTCACAGGACCTACCCCTGATGCTGAGGGAGTACCAGCTTCACAGGACCTACCCTGATGCTGAGGGAGTACCAGCTTCACAGGACCTACCCTGATGCTGAGGGAGCACCAGCTTCACAGGACCTACCCCTGATGCTGAGGGAGTACCAGCTTCACAGGACCTACCCTGATGCTGAGGGAGTACCAGCTTCACAGGACCTACCCTGATGCTGCGGGAGTACCAGTTTCACAGGACCTACCCCTGATGCTGAGGGAGTACCAGCTTCACAGGACCTACCCTGACGCTGAGAGAGTAGCCGTGGCCAGCCTCAGACATCCTGATGAGGAAGGCTCCGGTGGTGTTTATCTTGCTCAGCAAGAGCTGCTCCGCCTGCACTCGGGATATGGACCCGAAATACCAGCTGAAATGCAAAGTCAAACATTGCTATTAATCCCGTTCTCTCCCCTATACGTCGCATTTTTTTACGGAATCGACCAATCTGTTATAAATGTGACGTATTAATAAACATTAAAGCATTGTAATATTAGCGGTAAAGAATATCAGAGTGGCACGCTAAAAAGTGGAACTGTATGCAACCTAAGCTATCCTAGGCCTAGAAGAAAAGTTTAGATTTGGCTGTTGCCCTCTTCTTCTGGCCCTCTACACAATTAATACTTCTAACCATTTTTCTTTACAAAAGTTCACTCTTGTGCGTTTAATGAATAGTTGATATAAATACTATAAGTTTTGGATGACGGGTTACTGTTTCACAGATGAAAATTTCGCCATGATCAGTATAATCTAGAGAATGAGTTACGAGCATTGGGGAAGAATGACCCAGGTCAGAAAAGGACCTGTAAACAAACTTTCGTTGATCCTTGAGGTAATGCGGTTATGTGTTAATTTTAGTTATTATCTGCCGGTTTCATACAAATTGTATAATATGGTTAAAACGTATCTATATGTATGTAACTGAAGTAACCTAGACCCACAGAGACAATTCTGTTATCATTTATAATCGCTTAGTTTAAACTAAGATATCAAGTAGCAGGAACTTATCCAGGCATAAGTGAACAGAGAACATGGTTACAGTAAACATATAACCAAGATAGAAATGACACCTGTAATAAAATTATTTGATATCTTAAATAATTGAACTGACACGTTAAAAGATATTAAAACAAGATATTATCAGGGTGTGACACACTAGGAGGCCCTATAGCGTGTTGGAGCTGAGAAGGGTGTGATCTATAGTGATCATATTATACATCCGTCAGCCAGAGCTTACTTTCCCTCAACACTCATGACACTCGAGGGAACATTGATACTTCTGACATTTAAGGAAGGAGTACGAGACACTTATACTTACTCTTGACACTCTAAGGAGGAGGAGGAAGCGATGTAGGGTACGGGAATGAAGCCTTCATTATGATTGTTAATATGGCGCGCCAGCCACCAGTCCTCGTCTCTGTAACAAAACAATGTATCTTCAGTGGAACACACAAACAATGTAACCGCCTGCCTTCCTACACATCACTACAAAATATTCGCTGTTCATAAATATTGAAATTTAATTAGCCTAAGGCAAGACGGGCTAGGATTCGTCGAGCATTTCAATGTTTCCTCAATTATGGCGGCTTACATTGTATTTATTAACAGTTTATGAGCTCCAAGGCACTACAAAGTTGGTTAATAGCAATAATAACCTTAGGTTGTGAACGACCTCGTGGTCTTTCCAGCTAATAGACTGTTTAATAAATACAGACAAAGCCGCCATGATTGAAGAAGTTGTTTCTGCAATCTGTTTCTGTACAGGTTTCGTAAGTAGACACATAAATTCTTGATGAATCTCGATACCAAAGTTTCTGACAGCAAATAACTAATTTATCCCTGAATAAAGGCAGGTAAAGTGCAGGACAAATGGGGAGCCTTTGACAAGTCGTCGGCTTCCTGTCCTCGTCGAGGCCACTAGAGAGATAGTGGTCCCTCAAGTAAATTCAGATAAAATGGCTATTCTTTTAACGCTTATATTCTTGCCTATTTAGTGTCCCAATTTCCATCAGATCCATTATCGCACATAGTCTACCTTTCCTCATGTCGGGGACAGAAAGCCTGCTAGGAGCAATGATTTCAAGGATAACTTCACTCCGCTAGATCACAGGATGCTGAACACGATCCCAGTGTGTTCAGGAAAATGTTGACATAACTGTAGTCTATGAACATGAGAGCAGCTGGGTGGAGGGTCTCACCACTTTCCTCCGCTTATGACGCTGTCGGTGGTAGAGTGGGTATGTTACTAGTGCTTGCCACCCATGTGTAATTACCTAAGTGTCATTACAGGATGAAAGCTAAGCTCGTGGTGTCCCGTCTTCCCAGTACTCTTTGTCATATAACGCTTTGAAACTACTAACAGTTTTGGCCTCCACCACCATCATCTCACTTAGCTTGTTCCAACCAAACAGAGTGTTTGACTGTGTTCAAACACAGTCTACCACTCTGCAAAATAAAACTTTCTAATATTTTTTGCCACCTTTGTTTCCTTAGTTTGAATCTGTGTCCTCTTGTTAACGAAGTTGCTGGTTTCAAGAATTCCTCTTTGTCAATTTGGTCGATTCCTGTTAGTATTTTGTAAGTGGTGATATCACCTCTTTCTTTTATCTTATAGTTTCTTATCTTGAGATGACATATTTTGATGACATATTTTGACATTTTAGATGACATAAGACATTTTTTGACATAAGATGAGATCTTATCTTGTTTTGACATATTTAATGCTTCTAGCTTCTCAAAGTAACTCGACAACAGGGTTCGATCCCCACGGCAGAAAGAAAACATAAGTGCTCGTTTTCTTTTACCTTATGTCTGAGTTCACCTAGCTGTAAATAGGTATCTTTGATGTTTTGGGCTGCATCCAGCATATGCGCGCGCGCGCGTGCGTGCGTGCGCGTGTGTGTGTGTGTGTGTGTGTGTGTGTGTGTGTGTGTGTATTCACCTAGTTGTGCTTGCGGGGGTTGAGCTCTGCTCTTTCGGCCCGCCTCTCAACTGTCAATCAACTGTACTAACTACTTTTTTTTTACACCACCCACCCACACACACACACAAACATACACACACAAGCATACACACCCACACCAGGAAGCAGCCCGTGACAGCTGACTAACTCCCAGGTACCTATTTACTGCTAGGTAACAGGCGCATCAGGGTGAAAGAAAATCTGCCCATTGTTTTTCGCCGGCGCCGGGAATCGAACCCGGGACCACAGGATCATGTGTTCAGCGTGTTGTCCAGTCAGCCACCGGCCCCCTTGTGTGTGTACTCACCTAGTTGTGTTTGCGGGGGTTGAGCTTTGCTCTTTCGGCCCGCCTCTCAACTGTCAATCAACTGTTTACTAACTACTTCCCCCCCCCCCACACACACACCAGGAATCAGCCCGTGACAACTGACTAACTCCCAGGTACCTATTTACTGCTAGGTAACAGGGGCATGCAGGGTGAAAGAAACCTTGCCCATTTCTGTGGTGTGTGAATCTAACCCGCGGCACAGAATTATGAGTCCTGCGCGCTATTTACTAGGCTACCAGGCCCCTACCAAGTGTGTGTGTGTGTGTGTTTGTCATTTACTTGAATCATCGAGGAATCGAACTCGGGATTGATATATACAAGATGGTCGTCCTACCAACTAGTTAAAAACCCCGATACCTGTCGATGATACCTGTCAATAATACCTGTCGGTAATACCTGTCGATAATACCTGTCGATAATACCTGTCGATGATACCTGTCAATAATACCTGTCGATAATACCTGGTGATAATACCTGTCGATGATACCTGTCGATAATACCTGTCGATAATACCTGTCGATAATACCTGTCGATGATACCTGTCGATAATACCTGTCAATAATACCTGTCGGTAATACCTGTCGATAATACCTGTCGATGATACCTGATGATAATACCTGTCAATAATACCTGTCGATAATACCTGTCGATAATACCTGTCGATGATACCTGTCGATAATACCTGTCGATAATACCTGTCGATGATACCTGATGATAATACCTGTCGATAATACCTGTCGGTGATACCTGTCGATAATACCTGTCGATAATACCTGTCGGTGATATCTGTCAATAATACCTGTCGATAATACTTGTCGGTGATACCTGTCGATAATACCTGTCGATGATACCTGTCGATAATACCTGTCGGTGATACCTGTCGATAATACCTGTCGATGATACCTGTCGATAATACCTGTCGATGATACCTGTCGATAATACCTGTCGATGATACCTGTCGGTGATACCTGTCGATAATACCTGTCGGTGATACCTGTCGATAATACCTGTCGGTGATACCTGTCGATAATACCTGTCGATAATACCTGTCGATGATACCTGTCGATGATACCTGTCGATAATACCTGTCGGTGATACCTGTCGATAATACCTGTCGATAATACCTGTCGATAATACCTGTCGATAATACCTGTCGATAATACCTGTCGGTGATACCTGTCGATAATACCTGTCGATGATACCTGTCGGTGATACCTGTCGATAATACCTGTCGATGATACCTGTCGATAATACCTGTCGGTGATACCTGTCGATAATACCTGTCGGTGATACCTGTCGATAATACCTGTCGATAATACCTGTCGGTGATACCTGTCGATAATACCTGTCGATAATACCTGTCGGTGATACCTGTCGATAATACCTGTCGATGATACCTGTCGATAATACCTGTCGGTGATACCTGTCGATAATACCTGTCGATAATACCTGTCGATAATACCTGTCGGTGATACCTGTCGATAATACCTGTCGATAATACCTGTCGGTGATACCTGTCGATAATACCTGTCGATAATACTGTCGATAATACCTGTCGATAATACCTGTCGATAATACCTGTCGATAATACCTGTCGATAATACCTGTCGATAATACCTGTCGATAATGCCTGTCGATAATACCTGTCGGTAATACCTGTCGATAATACCTGTCGATAATGCCTGTCGATAATACCTGTCGATAATACCTGTCGATAATGCCTGTCGATAATACCTGTCGATAATACCTGTCGATAATACCTGTCGATAATACCTGTCGGTGATACTTGTCGATAATACCTGTCGATAATACCTGTCGATAATACCTGTCGATAATGCCTGTCGATAATACCTGTCGGTAATACCTGTCGATAATGCCTGTCGATAATACCTGTCGGTGATACCTGTAGGTCACCTCAGGTCACCCCCCCCCCCCGGCGGTCACCCAGGGTATGCCAGACCACGGTCATAACCCTGTGGGGATGCTGTTATTAAGTTCCAGTTACGAAACCTGTTCATCTATCTTCAGTTACAGCGGCTTAATTTGCATTTATTAAACCGTTTATAAGCCCCGAAGCACTACGAGGTTGTTTATAACAATAATAACCTTGGGTACTGAACGATATCTCAGCGTTTCCCAGCTCGCAAACTATTTCATAAATGTAAACTAAGCCGCCATAATCGAGGAGAGATGTACAGGTTTCGTAAGTGGACACGTGAATGTTTGATGAATTCTGTTTCTTGCTTTTACGCGACGTCCACCGCTCAGTTCCGCTGTTTAGAAAGATTGCAAATTAAATATACAGTTATAAATAAATATACCGTCTCCGTGGTGTAGTGGTAAGACACTCGCCTGGCGTTCCGCGAGCGCTTTGTCATGGGTTCGTATCCTGGCCAGGGAGGATTTACTGGGCGCATATCCATAACTGTAGCCTCTGTTTTACGCAACAGTAAAATGTGTACTTTGTTGTAACAACGATTCTTCGCGGCGGGGATCGTATTCCAGGGACCTGCCCGAAACGCTACGCGTACTAGTGGCTGTACAAGAATGTAACAACTCTTGTATATATCTCAAAAAAAAAAAAAAAAATGTTTGCAAGAAGCTGTTGTGTGTTGAATCACATCTGAGGGACCCGGGTTCAATCTCCGGACAGGGCAGCACGTCCGGAGATTGAATCCGGAAAAGGAAACAGTTGGGCACGTTTCCTTTCACTTGATGCCTTTGTCCACCAGACAGTAAAATAGGAACTTAGTAGTTAGGTAACTGTTGTGGGTCGCATCATGGGGAGGGTGAGTCGTTGGCCTAGGCCCTAGGCGCTCCTTACACCTGATGCCTCTGTTCTTCTAGAAGAAAATATACCTGGGAGTTAGTCACCTGTTGTAGGTTACATCCCGAGGAGGGCAGCAATAGGCTTACGATAAGCCCAAGTCCAGGCTTCCTGTACTCACCTAATTGTACTCACCTAATTGTCCTTGCGGGGGTTGAGCTTTGGCTCTTTGGTCCCGCCTCTCAACTGTCAATCAACTGGTGTACAGATTCCTGAGAACATAGAATTATATTCACAGTTTTGAAAAACTTACGAACTCTGAAGGACCTCCATGATGTCGCCCTTGTTGAAGCTGAGCTCGGAGGGGCCCCTAGCGACGAAGGAATACATGCCCACCACGAGCTGCATCCTCTCCTCTGGCACTGGTGGTTGGAGACTCCCTGCTTTTATCTGCCCTGACTGCTCGGCTGTCTGCGGGGAGGGTGCAGTGCTCTCTGGTATGCCATCTGTCAAAGTAAAACATATCTTAGAAGAAATCAAGTCTATCGTTTGCTACAATTACAAATTCTCAATTGACGATAGAATATTATCATAAGAGTTAAAGAAACTGCAGCAGGTCTTGTACACCATACGAGGCAGCTCCTACATCCACCCAAACTCATTCAGAATTACCTGAAGTTACCTGAGGACCACTATCTTTCTAGTGTCCTCGACGAAGACAAGAAGGGGACGTTTTCTACAGGTTTGGTAGAAAATGGTCGAAAAATTACTTCAGCTTAAAATTTAGCTGGAAAAAATCCTCAGGAACACTGGAGGCGGGGGAGGGGGGAGGACATTTGACAAGCCGCTGGCTTCCTGTCCTCATCAAGACCACTAGAAGTGGTGGCCCTCAGGTAAATTAGTGGGTCACAACCCATTCGTAACGCACATGAATAAAATGAAGTGTATTAAGAAATACAGTAATACCCGTGAATGAAATCGTAACGTGCATTTTTTCCTCTAGAGTATATGTGTCACTTGAAGTAACAGCCCATATCCGTTGTATACGTTTATTTCCTGGAATATTCGTTTGGGTGTCAGACAACGGACTTCCTCAGTCAAGCGCGCCAAGTGAACTCCGCGAGCTCAGGCACGTTTCCTTAGCACTTTAAACGGAATTAGTTGGGTTTAGCATTGTGTAAGGAAAAATTAACCATATTCTGCTTTTAAAGAAATAACTGCATTAAAAATTGCGTGGAATGTTTGATAGTTAGGGTAGACATATATGTGATGAGTTTGCGAGGATATAGGAGCTGCCTTGTATGGACCAATAGGAGATGCCTTGTATGGACCAATAGGAGGTGTCTCGTATGGACTAATAGGAGTTGCCTCTTATTGGCCAATAGGAACTGCCTCGTGTGGATTATTAAGAGCTGCCTCTTATTGGCCAATAGGAGCTGCCTCGTATGGATTATTAGGAGCTGCCTCGTATGGATTATTAGGAGCTGCCTCGTATGGATTATTAGGAGCTGCCTCGTATGGGCCAATAGGACCTGCCTTGTATGTACCAATAGGAACTGCCTTGTATGAATCAATAGGAGCTGCCTCGTATGGACCAATAGGAGCTACTTCGTAACGTCACGGTGGACAAAGTATCCAAGACTAACGCTGATTCTTCATTATATCAACACTACTGGATGTTGTGCCCACTGGGAACATGTTGGAGCACCATTGATTGTACGTCGTTTATCCAAGGATAGTCATCGTCGTATGCTCTTGGATATTGTGCCCAGTGGGCACAATATCCAAATCAATCACGATTCATCGTCGAACTAGCTACCACTCTTGGATATTGTGTCCACTGGGCGGGAACCTAACTATATCCTAACCTGAATCTACCCAACGAAAATATGAGATAAAATGTTGTGTTTTATCTATGGAGTGTACGAGGTGTGACGTCACTATGACGTGATAATGTAATATGGGTACGGTTGTAGACCGGACTCTATGGGAACAGTCAGTGGTTGGGGGATGGAGGTGTTTACTCTTGTCGGATAGCTTCTTTTAAATCTTATCTTCTTCCGGTCTACAATGCAGCTTCTCTCCTGGGAATTTACCTGAGGGCCAGTTTCTCTCTAGAAAGCCGGCGGCTTGTAAAGTGCCTCCCCCCCCCCCCACATTTCTCCTGATGATTTTATCGACCTGGATTTTGAAATTCAGCAGTATTGTTAGCATTTACGGCTTCGACGAGCAGGCGGTTCCATGGGTTTATAACCATGTGGGTGAAAAAGCATCGCCTGTTTTCTGTCCTTTTGTGGTTTGCTGATATTGAAACCGTTGCTCCTTGTTTATGTTACATCTGAACTTTTAAAGAAGTGGTCTGGGTCAATATTCTCCAAATTGCTCAGTATTATGTGTGCGTTAGAGAGAAATATGTATAGTTACAATGAAGAAGAAAAATATGTCGGGAGTTGGTACATTAGACAACTGACGATTAGAAAGGCGAAGTCCAAGAGCTAAGAGCCCGACCCTGCAGGCACAAATAGGTAATACATGCACTCTCTCTCCATCCTATCCTCAGACCAAGTCCATTCCATCCAGCAGTCAACTCCAAAGACGCATTCGTCAATTTTAACACGCTGTTCATTCAAAACAGGAATTTTCTTCAATATAATGTAATATTATTTTATATTACCATATTGTACATATTTAGGCACTGGTTAGGTTAGGTTATGTTAGGTTCTGTTGGCGATTATTTGTATTTGTAATACCCGGGTGAAGCATTTCAACCCATCCTCGACTCAAGTCCATTAAATCCAGCGGTCGACACCACAGACGCATTCATAAATTTTTACATGATATTCATTCAAAACAGAAATGTCCTCAAATATAAATTAATATTATAATATATAAGCATATTGTGCATATGTAGGCATAGGTTAGGTTCTGTTGGCAATTATTTGTATTTGTAGTACGTGGGTGAAGCATTTAAAGCATTGTGGTTCGAACAAAATTCGTCAATGAAGCACTTGTTCCGGAAGTGTTTGAAGGAAATCAGTTATGAGTCATGTGTAAACCGTTTTTCCTTCATAAACAGCTGGGGTTTGGCGGGTGCAGGGAATCACTTTTGGCTCTTTGGAGGACGGGCTGGGTCAGGATTCATCAGTCCCCGTGGCGAAGTGGTAACACACGCCTGGCGTTTCGTGAGCACTTTGGCCTGGGGTCATATCCAGGCCGGGGAGGATTGACTAGGCGCCAATCCTTAACTGTAGCCTCTGTTCACCCAGCAGTGAATGGGTATCTGGTTGTTAAACGATTTTTCGGGGTCGTATTCCGGGGAAAACTAGGATTAAGGACTTGCTCGAAACGCTACGCGTGCTAGTGGCTTTATAAGAAGGTAGGAACTCTTGTATATATAAATAAATAACAATAAATAAAAAAATAAAATCAGTCATGCAACTGATGAATTGTAAGTGCCTAACCACTTACGAAACCTGTACATCTTTGATCAATTATAGAGGCTTTGTTACATGTATTAAACAGTTTAAGAGCTTGGGAACTCTACAACCCAAGGTTATTACTGTTATAGACAACCTCGTAGTGCTTCGGAACTCATAAACAGTTTAATAAATGTAAACAAAGCCGCCATGAATGAGAAAAGATGTACAGGTTTCGCAAGAGGTTGCGTAAATGCTTGATGGATCCTGGCCTCGGAGACAGACGAAAATATATAAGTATTCTGTTTAGGATTGTAAAAACACTTGAAGGTATAAATGATGGTTACCATAAATGGTCACGCCTGTGTTGGAGACATGGGAAGGAAGGAATTATCAGGAGAAAATGCCAAGCCATTAAACTATATAGCATTTGGAAGGGGTCAGGATAAGGATTTGGGATGAGACGGAGGGAAGGAATGGTGCCCAACCACTTGGACGGTCGGGGATTGAACGCCGACCTGCATAAAGCGAGACCGTCTCTACCGTCCAGTCCATTTTTTTTTTTTTTTTTTAGTGGTCGGGCAGAGACGGGGCCGAATACAGACTACATGAAAATATCCACTCTGTCATTAGCAAACTGCACCAATTACTGTCTTACATGAAAATATGTTTTCAAAAGGCATAGTTGAGGAATATTAGTATACAAACGCAATGTTTGGCGTCTTACCTTGGTTGGTGTGGAGAGTGTTCTGGGCTGTGTCTCGCTTAACAAACTTGCTACATTTCTTGCCCATGTTGGTGGCTTCCTCTGTGCTCACTCCGCGTCTTGTTCATACGACCTATTCTCCAGTCTTAAATTTACGTCATAGTCTAAATTCTCTTTTCATATTAGATTCCAGTCTGGGTTTTTAGATCGTGAGAATATAAATTTAAATTTTTAAACAGTAGTCTATACAATAAGCCCAGTAATCTGAATTTCGTAATAGAAGTTGTTAAGGATTCACAGAATAGACTGTGATTCCGTATTCCGTAGATTCCGTATTTTCATTATATGTTTTCTTATTATTTCACTCAATAGGCCTATACTTCGTATTTTTTAGATATTAAATCTTAATAATTAGCTGTATTGGACTATTCTCCGTACTTTCCAGACATTCTTTTTAAAGAGTTCACTCTAAATTGAGAAGAGGAGCTTACATGTGGCTCAAGAAGCACAATGTGAGGCTTCAACGATCACTGAAATGTATTTAATTATCTTACAAAAATGCGTGGAACATTGTTAATTTTGTATGTGGAATTACGCTTTGCACAACAATGGATGAGGAGTCATCACACATTTACGTGTCCACTTGCGAAATCTATACATCTTTCTTCAATCATGGCGGCTTAGTTTTTATTTATTATTAAAAAAAAAAATACACAGTTTATGAGCTCCGAGGCACTATGAGATTGTTTATAACAATAATAACCTTGGGTTGTGAATGACTCTGCAGCGTTCCCCAGCTCGGACACTGTTTAATAAATATTGTTTATTTATTAGAGCAATGAGCATATCCACATATTTGAGGAAATATGTACAGCTTTCGTAAAGTGGCCATGTAAATGCTTGATGTATCCCGGCCCTGGCTAGGGATGCCAGATTGGGCTACTTGTAGCCCAATTGGGTTACCAATAAGGATAATTGTATTCAATTAAAAAGCCCTCATGTATGTCGCTACTTACTACTTTTTCGGCTACAGTTAAAATAAGCTGGACTGTTTATTCTGAAAAGCGAATCAATCGGGGAAAAAAATATTTGGCTACTTTTATTCTAAAGTTTGAACTCGCGACTTTCGGCAACTCAAATCTGGCACCCCTGCCCCTGGGTCGTCTTATCTCCAGAAAAAATACAATTTAGCTACAAAAGCCATATTAATAACTTTGTATATTGGTAATTTTATATTGATAAAATGAATAGCAAACCCTGATGTTACAGCTGTGGTAGAGGAACCGTAATTTATAAATTAACCGTAAAAAACATAGACGAAATTTAGTAAGAAATTCCAATTAATGGACCGAATAAAGGAAGTATTGGAGGCAGACTGGGAATTACAGGTAAGAGGCAAGGCCCAATAGATGAAGGTCATCCCGCCCTTCCCTCCCTGAAACCCACAGCTAGGTGAGCACACACACATACCACGTATGTATATGTAGTATACATACAACCCTGTATACCACGTATGTAAGACCAATCCTGGAGTATGCAGCTCCAGCCTGGAGTCCATACCTAGTTAAACACAAGACAAAGTTAGAGAAGATTCAGCGGTATGCCACCAGGCTCGTCCCGGAACTGAGAGGAATGAGCTACGAGGAAAGGCTGAACCTCACATCCCTGGAAAACAGAAGAGTAAGGGGAGACATGATAACCACCTACAAAATTCTCAGGGGAATTGACAGGGTGGACAAAGACAAACTCTTCAGCACGGGTGGGACATGAACAAGGGGACACACGTGGAAACTTAGTACCCAGATGAGCCACAGAGACGATAGAAAGAATTTTTTCAGTGTCAGAGTAGTTAATAAATGGAATGCACTAGGCAGTGATGTGGTGGAGGCTGACTCCATACACAGTTTCAAATGTAGATATGATAGAGCCCAGTAGGCTCAGGAATCTGTACACCAGTTGATTGACAGTTGAGAGGCGGGACCAAAGAGCCAAAGCTCAACCCCCGCAAGGACAATTAGGTGAGTACACACACACACACACACACACACACACACACACACACACACACACACACACACACACACACACACACACACACACACACACACACACACACACACTAAACTAAACTAAACTAAGCTAAACTGAAACTAAACCTCGTAGAGGCAAAACGTCTAAATGAGAGGAGAAACGAAGAAGAAATCAATTCTTTTTTCTACAAAGTGATAGGGGTAGGCAGCCCAGTAAAATGGTACAAAAAGGCAACCAACAAAATTATTACAGAGAGGAGTAGTGAAGAATAAGGATAGGGGGAAACATGTTCCTGAAAATAATATACAACAATGTAGATGGAGTGAGATCGAAGATACTGGAGTTAAGTGATGTAATACAGCGGCAGACACCAGACATTGTTGCACTCACGGAGACAAAACTTGAAGATGTTATTTTAAATGAGGTCATATTCCCAAGGGGCTACTCAATCTGCAGACGGGACAGAGAAATTAGGAAAGGCGGTGGCGTTGCTGTGCTGGTGAAAGAACACCTAAAGGTGAACGAAATAATGATTGCCAATCCACGAGAAGTTGACATAATAGCACTAGAGATCTACCATGAGGATGATAAACTAATGATCATAAATGCATATAGTCCACTGCCAAGCAACACATGGACAAAGGAGGAGCTAGATAGTAAACGAGAAGGTCTTATAACAATAATGAGAGAGATTATAGCAAGAGCTGATAAAGATAGATCACGACTGTTGATAATCGGCGACTTCAACTTGAAATCCATAGACTGGGAAGCATATGAAGCTAGAACAGGATTTTTGGACCTGTTGATTTGTAGACCTCATCCTGGAAACATTCTTGTATCAACATGTTAAACAAGCTACAAGGATGAGGGAAGGCGACATTCCCTCCATGCTACATTTGATATTTACCAGGAAGGAGGAAGAGATATTTGACATTCAGTATCTTCCTCCCTTGGGTAAAAGTGACCATGTCTTTTTGGGAATAAAGTATGCAATACGTTATAATTTGGAAGAAAATAAGGAGGTTAAAGCAGTTGAAAAACCTGACTTCAGGAGAGGACATTATGGCAACCGTAGACATTTTTTTAGTGAGTATAATTGGACAGACTTGATGCTAGGCAAGGAAGCAAATGAGATGTATGTCAAGTTTTGTGAAATATATGATAAAGGCACAACAAATTTATACCAAAGCAGAGATGCAGAACTAAGAAACAGGATTGGTTCAACAGAAATTGCGAGAGGGCCAGAGACCAAAAGACACAAAAATGGAAACAATATAGGAAGAGGCCAAACCCCCAAACATACCAGCGATATGAAGATGCGAGAAACAACTACACGGCAGTGAGGAGAGAGGCAGAACGAAATTTTGAAAAAGGGATTGCAGACAAATGTAAAACAGAACCAGGTCTATTCTATAAATTTATAAACAAAAATTTGCAGGTAAAGGATAATATTCAGAGGTTGAAAATGGGAAATAGATTCACGGAAAATGAAAAGGAAATGTGTGAAGCATTAACCGAAAAGTTCCAAAGTGTGTTTGCACAAAATGAAATCTTCAGTGAACCAGACGCAATAAGAATTCCAGAGAGCAACATGGAGCACATAGAGGTGTCTAGAGACAAAGTGGAAAAAATGTTCAAGGAGCTAAGTAAGACCAAAGCAGTTGGTCCAGATGGAGTTTCATCGTGGGTTCTGACAGAATGTGCACCTGAGCTCAGCATTCCACTTCAACTGATTTGTCAGGCATCTCTGTATACAGGAGTTGTAGCTGATGTGTGGAAAAAGGCTAACATAGTTCCAATCTACAAAAGTGGCAGCAGGGAAGACCCACTCAATTAGGGATCTGTATCATTGAGAAGTGTAATAGTCAAAATATTGGAGAAAATAATTAAAACTAAATGGGTAGAACACCTGGAGAAAAACTATATAATATCAGACAGCATGGTTTTCGATCTGGAAGATCCTGTGTAACGAACTTACTGAGTTTCTATGATCGAGCCACAGAGATTTTACAGGAAAGAGATGGTTGGGTTGACTGCATCTATCTGGACCTAAAGAAGGCTTTCGACAGAGTTCCACATAAGAGGTTGTTTTGGAAACTGGAACATATTGGAGGGGTGACAGGTAAGCTTCTAACATAGATGAAAAATTTCCTAACTTACAAAAAAATGAGGGCCGTAATCAGAGGCAATGTACCTGACTGGAGGAATGCCACGAGTGGAGTACCACAGGGTTCAGTTCCTGCACCGGTAATGTTCATTGTCTACATAAAATACAAATACAAATACAAATGTTTATTTAGGTAAAGTACATACGTACAAGGGGTGATACAGATATTATGGAATTTATAGATAGAGCTAATACATACAATGCCTAAAGCCACAATTCCGTAAAGCGTTTCGGGCAGGAAAAACACCAAAGACTAAAACTTAATACTAATTGAGATTAAAGAATAAAATGTGTTGAGAAAAAATAAAAATGAAAAAGGGGGGAACATGGCAGGAAAACAGCAAAAATATAATTTGGTCGACAAACAGCATTGTTTAAAAATAACAGACATGGGGTGACATTATAGGGGTAAGGTAGGTTACAGGGAGTTATTAGGTAGCGCTTAGTTTTTATCTTAAACTGGTTGAGAGAGGTACAGTTTTTAACATGATTGGGAAGGTCATTTCACATTCTGGGTCCCTTGATTTGTAGAACATTTCTAGTTTGATTAAGTCGTACTCTTGGAATATCAAAAAGGTATTTGTTTCTGGTGTGGTGCTCATGGGTTCTGTTACAACCTTCAATGAAGCTTTTAAGGTCAGGATTGGCATTACAGTTCAGCGTTTTATATATATATATATATATATATATATATATATATATATATATATATATATATATATATATATATATATATATATATATATATATATATATATATATATATATAATACACATAAGAGGATGTGCAGTGACTTAATATCTAACATATTCAGAGATTTGAGAAGGGGTACCGAGTGATGTCTGGGGCCAGAGTTGGATATTGTCCTAATAGCAGCTTTGTGTTGAGTAATTAGAGGACGTAAATGATTTTGGGTAGTAGAACCCCAAGCACAGATACCATAGTTGAGATAAGGATAGATGAGGGAGTAATAGAGCGTCACCAGGGCAGGGCGAGGTACATAATATCTGATCTTAGAAAGAATACCAACAGTTTTTGAAACTTTTTTTGATATATTTAGAATGTGTCCCTGGAAATTCAGTTTGTGGTCAATATGAATGCCAAGGAATTTGCCGTCTATTTTGTTACAAATTTGGGTATTATTTATCCTGAGATTTATTTGATTTGAGGATTTATTGCCAAACAAAATATAGAAAGTTTTGTCAATGTTGAGGGTGAGTTTGTTGGCAGTTAGCTAAAGATGGACTTTATTTAGCTCAGTATTCACTGTGACATTTAGAGCAAGGGGGTCAGGACTGGAATAAATGAAGGTTGTGTCGTCAGCAAATAGAATTGGTTTGAGGTGTTGGGAGGCATTTGGAAGGTCATTAATGTAGATGAGAAAGAGGAAAGGGCCAAGTATGCTGCCCTGAGGAACACCAATGTTGATGAGTAGGGTGGGAGAAATTGAATTATTCACAGAAACATACTGGAGCCTGTCAGTAAGGTAAGATTTGAGGTATTGCAGGGAGTGACCTCTGACTCCATAATGATGTAATTTAAGAAGGTTTTGGTGGTTGACAGTGTCGAATGTCTTACGCAGGTCCACAAATAACCCAACAGGGAACTCATTTTTATCAAGAGCTACGTGTATCAAGTTAATCATACTAATAAGTTCATCATTAGTGCTTTTTTGGGGTCTGAAGCCATATTGACAAGAGCTAAGTATATTGTGTTTGGCTAGATAAGAGTAAAGATGCTTGTAGATTAGTTTTTCAAATATTTTTGACAAGTTTGTCAGAATTGATATAGGCCTGTAGTTGTTAACGTCAGTGAGATCACCACATTTGTGGACAGGGGTTACTCTCGCTTTTTTTAGAATAACTGGAAAGGTTTGGAGTTCAAGTGACTTGTTGAAGAGCAATGCAATGGCAGGAGCTAAAAAATCTGGAGGCTTTTTTGTAAATTAAAGTTGGTATCTCCTCAAGGGCACTAGACTTGGTTGTAAGGGAAAGGATTACCTCATTAACATCAGTGGAATTTCCAGGCGTTAGGTACAGAGATTGTGGATAGTTACCTGTAAGATAGTCCTGAACATCAGTGATCTACGATCGGTACGATCTACCAGTTGGAATACAGAATTATATGAACATGTTTGCTGATGATGCTAAGATAATAGGGAAGATAAGAAACCTAGAAGATTGTCATGCCCTTCAAGAAGACCTGGACAAAATAAGTATATGGAGCAACATTTGGCAAATGAAATTTAATGTTAATAA